ATTGTCAACCAAACCATTATTGGATCATTCAAAGTCAATGTAGCATTTAAACTGAACAGTGCTAACTATTGCAATTTTATGAACAAAACTTTCTTTGTATGGTACAACTCCCAGTCTCAAAGTGAAATATGTATTTATGCACAACAATGCTCCTTCTCATGTATCTAAGCTTACCCGTGATCTCTTTTGACATAAAAGATTTACAGGAGCAAAGAAAATACAATTGCCACCATCAAGTCCTGATCTGAATCTGATCAAAAATCTATAGTCAATTGTGAAGATATTTTGTGATGTCAACAAAATCTCATTGCTACTTTTGTAATGCCAATGAATACTCATTATCATTTTCATAATGCTTGTTGTAGTAGAGACTTTGTAATTGCAGATACAACTATAGTATGCCATTGAACAATACTGGTGTCAGTTGGCTTTGAATAACACTCACACTAACTGTACTTGCTCAATAATACTCGCTCAAAAGGTAACCACCGAATAGTGATCAGTATAGGAAAGTAGTATAGTGAATAGATTAGAGAATAGCAATCTGTATAGTAATAGAGGATAGAGTAGAAAGAGTGATCTGTATAGTAATAGAGGATAGAATAGAAATGGTGATCAATTAGATATCATACTAATTCCTATATATATATTTCCTTTGTGATCACATGGTCTACTTATTAGAAATGAAATCACCTGTGTTTGCTCACTGATGATCTGTGTTCAAACTCCAGTGTCAGCAGCAACACTTTATTCCTATATAATAACATGAATTATATTAAGGTGGCAAACAATATAACAGCAAAGCAGACATATGGGATGCAATTAAAACTACCATGCTGGAAACTGAACCTTCTGAGGTAAAATAAATTAACAAAATTAATGGCTAATAGATTACTGTTATTGAGAAAAAGGGGTCACTATATTAAAATGTAAAGGATTCAAAGACTTATCATATGTGTTTGTTATTTTTTCTATTATAGGTGTTGATCAATTTTTGATGATTTTATTACCTTTTTATTAAGTAAAATGTAGTTATTTGGTTTTGCCTAATAACTTCAGATGGCAATTTTTTAGAATAAATCAACTAACTTCAATAACTTCAATAAAACATGTTGGTACTACTTAAAATTTTAACTCAGGCTTTGTTTTGACATCTAAATTGATTAAAATTTGACATTTTTTTTTCAAACCAAATTTGAATTATTGAAGTTTATATGATTTGCTTAATAACTTCAGACAGGGTGTAGATGAGAACAATCTAACCCCATAGGTTAAATAAAGCGTTAATTTCAAATTTTTCTGATGGTTACCTGGATCAACAAGCAACTGATGAAGGCTGAAGGACATAACAGCTGAAACATTGTTAGAATAACAAGAAAAATGAGGATATTTGTCCAAGTTTAAATAATGCTAATCTTGCATCCAGTATCTGCTGTTGTGAGTTCAATCCCCACTGCATGATCCATAGTTATAACCTTGTGCTGTACTAAACTGAAATTAATAAATATTAGGGGAGAGAGAGAGAGAGAGGGACACTGAATATACCAGCTATTTTACCTCAAGAGATAGTAATTAAGGTAGAATTGATTGCCCACATATTTACTACTCAGCCATTGTCTCTCCCAACCATCATGGAGCCTCAGATGGGACAGAAAATAGAGAGAATTATTTCATACCTTTCCCAGTGGCACCAGCATAAATGTAATACAGACAGTTTCCACTGGAATTTGAATTTGATTTGCTGATTTATTTTCCAAGCTAAAAATCAATAAAGCACTTTGCAGTAATGCATATGCGTAAAATTAGTGCGATAGGTTGATGAATATATTGATAAGTATGTAATATTTTACTGTAGCATCACTTGTCCTACAAACATATCCACTTATCCAGTAGTTTGCAAAAATATTCAATCCACAGATAATGAGCTGTATTTTTAATTAATCCTTCTAAATTCAATTTGACATTTAGCTACTCAAATCTTATTCTTCTATATGCCATGTCCCTTCAGGATGTCGGAGACCTTGACTTTTCTCAACTTCCTCTCTTTTTTAACTTTTAATAAGGTTTGTCTTTTTGCTATCCTTCCTAATCCCTGTTCTGCCAACCATTCACACAAGCTGAGGTAGGTTATCTCTTACCTCTGCCACACTTGCCTTCTACATGTCTTGTGTGTGTCAACTTTTCCAAGCTCTCTTTCCTCATTAGATGCCCTGGAAATTTCAGTTGTTGCTTTCTAATTCTATGTTTTAGTATCCTTTTTGTTTCCTTTTGATACACTGGTTGTATCCTAAAGTGGGAAAGCTTTTTCTTCCCAACTATTTAACCCATAGCATGATGGGAAATAGATGGAGTCATGCCTTTCTCAAGAATATCAGTCTGAAGGCATCTTGCGTAGCAGAAAATTCCTGAAAATAGTTCTGAGTGCACCAACCACAAAAGGGTCAACTTAATCTGCTGCTTGGTATATTTGTTTTATTTTAAAGATCTTGCTACCCCTGAATTTTTGCCAGCTAACTCTGCACGATCTTCTTATTCCTATGCACAAAAATGTGTGTCAAAGTCCATTATTGGCTGCCCACATGCAAAAGTATGATTGCCAATTGCTCTCCAAGAGCTTATCAGTCAAGATGGTCATTTCCAACATAAGCTTTAGTTGCTCATTCTTAACTACTCACTGTCGATGATTGTTCATACTGATTCTCTGAACACACACAGCCATATTTCCTGCTGTTGTTATTATTTCATTTTTCACTTAATATTTTGAGTTTTCCATGGCTAGTGTAGAACAAAAGTCTAAATTTGGATGTTCCGGGCAATTCCTGATTCCTGTAAATTATACCATATATGCTTACTCAGATCTTTTTGTACTTTTCTTCAGAATAATCTGCTTAAAGCAAGGTTCAAATTTTGACCCATTTCAGTAGAAAACCAGTCAAAATGGTGACAGAAGTTCTTCTATTGAGTCATAAAACAAAATTAGAATGTATAAAGTCAGCTCGAAGCTTAGACATTGGTCCAAGCCTCAGAGGCATAGCCTAATCATCATCCTCCTAAGTTTTGACAAGATCTATTGATTTCCAGTCTCTGGTTGGACAAAATTGTTGCTGTTTAATGGAATTCTTGGAAAGAGTGGAGTTTCAGATCTTCAACAATCAGCACAAATTGTCTCAAATATTCTGGCACCAAAGATCCATTTAGTTCATTCTTCAGATTTTCCAAACTCTCAGATCAGGGTTGATATCACAGATTTTATCAGCTTAGTTTTGTGCCAGATTAAAAAAAAACATACACACACACATTTGTTTCCTTTTCTGTGTTTTAATTAAAGCAAATAAAATTTTTGTATATAACATTTTTTTTACAATAGGCGAAAATTCAAATTTTATTTTTCATTGGTTTAAAATTATTAAGAGCCATTTGAAAGAACTTTGCTTTCAGACATTGTAAAGTTTAATAAGGAAAAATGTAAATTCTATTTATTTTATGAATTTATAATATACTTATCTTATTAGCATTATAAAAATGACCGACACTGTTTCCACTGTATAAGTCTAAAGTTATACTAAAGGAATATATTTTGAAAAGAAACATATTTAATATTCATTTTAATACTTTCTGATGTTAAAGTGTTATTACATAAAACTAAGAAACATGTAAAATTAAGTTAAAGTTTTAAATGTTTCATGGTTAATCTTTATCAGTGGAACATTTAAATATTGATGTCTTTGATTGATTTGGTCTAAAGGAATGATATTAAAAGATAGAAAGTGAATGATGGAGATGAAAAAAAAGTTCCATTACATAAAAATAAATACTGACTTTTGGTATTTCCAATAATTTTCACAGAGGTATTTTTTCTTTTTCTCCAACTTTGAAAATCAGTACTGGTTAACTTTCTATTTAATTAATTCACTCCAAGCAAGGTGATAATGCCACAACTGGTGACTGTGAGTGAAAGATAATGAGAATACTTTGAGATGGCTACCTAATAATGTATAGCTCATCCCTTCCCCGGAATTGATAGGGGCTTCCTTCCTAAACTTTTACTTGATTAGTGTGGAATGTCGGTATCTTAATTATGTTATTATTTTCTCTTTGGGTTACAGCTGCTATCCATTTTAGTTGTTCACGTTCTTGAAAATCCTCAAGTGTTGTGTTATTTCTTATATTTTGTACAATTTTTTCTTTGTGATTTTGTAGAACCAGTTCACAAGGTTTAAAGAAGTGTGATCTTTGCCAAGACCCATAGGCTTCACACACTCAAAAACATTTTTAACCATTGATCTTAGAAATTAGTTCTATGCAACTGACAGTTTAGATATTTGGCGCCATTCATGACATCTGTATTGAAGTCTTGATCTAACAAGTATATTTAGGTACATGACTCGAGTTTTCAGGTTAATATTTTTGCTTTCTATATAAAAAAAGGCATGTAGAGCAATTAGAATCCCAAGAGGAAATTCAGAAAAAATATTTAGTAAAAGTTCCAATGCTGATGCATCTTCACTGAAAAAAAAATATTAGAAATTAAAGAATAATTCTGCAATATCAGCCATCTTTTTCTCTGACATCTCTTGGGATATTTGCAAAATTATCAATTTTGGCATTTTCAGACTGATAAGCATTTTCCAATTTCTTTGCTAAAAATGAATTCACCTTGTAAAAATGTATACAGTACCAAAATTCTTATTTTTGACTAGCCTGAAAAAGAATCCCTTTTCACAGGAAAAAAGACATTTTTTTTCTCTGAAAAGAGTAAGAAAAATATTTTTTCCTAAACACAAATAAAATAAAAAAATATTCGACTGGGTTAATCCAACCTCACCTCCTGTCACCATAATTAATCCATCATGTTTTTGAAAATACTGATTCATTAAACCAAGTTCTCTATTTAAAAGTTTTTCTCATCAAAAGTTAAGCACGTCCATCAATCTGATTTTCTGTCAATATTTTATCACAACACTCAATGATGACCTGCATTGAACCATTATGATTAAAATATGTCCTATACCAACATCATTTTCATATCTATTCCACACCAATTCATTATAATTAAATTATCTTTGTATTATGATTGCCAATTAATATTTTGCTTGCATTCATTTATTCAAAAAAGAATATCTTTTTTCATTCTATTACATTCCTTTATTCTTTCACTTTTCTTTCTTTTGTCATCTTTCTTTTTTGGTACCTTATTTTCTTCTTCGTGCTATGATATTTTTTAATTTTTCTCTTTTTATAACTTTCTTTGTTGCTTTCTTTTCTTTTTTCACCTTTCATTTTTTTTTTCTTCACATTCCTTCTTTTATCTCAACCTGATATTGTTCATTTTTCTTTTTCTTAACTTATTTCTACCATGTTTCATTTATTTGTCTATATGATTTTTTCTTTTCTTGTATACTTTTCTTTCATTTTTGCATTCTTTTTCATTAATTTTTCATTCTTTATGATTTTTTCTTTTATTTTGTATAGTTTTTCTTTCATTTAGTGCATTCTTTTTCATTTATTTTTCATTCTTTATAATTTTTTCTTTTATTTTTGTATACTTTTACCTTCATTTTTGTATTCTTTTTTCATTCATTCTTATTGTTTGTTCAGTGTATTCTTTCTTCATCCCTTACTATTTTGGGTCTTTCTTTCATGGCTCGATTCCTTTTACTTTCCTTTTTTTTTTTCTGTTTTCCTCTCATCTCTTTCTTTATCTTCCCAAAATCTTCCTTATATCTTTTCATCCTCTCTTTTCCTTTTTATTTCCTATTTTACTTATTTCTCTTTTTCTTCATTTTCATCCACTTCCTTCCTCTCTATTTTTCTTTATTTTCTCTGTTTCTCTTTTTATTGCTCTTTGGTCATATTTTTATTTTCTCATATTCTTCATTTTTTCTTATTATCTGTCACTCTCTTTCTTCTCATTCTTTCTTTTTTCTCTTTCTTACTTAATTTTATATTATTTTCTACAACTGCACTCTCTTTGATAGAATTAACTTTGAAATGATCATAATTTTAATTTGATCATAATATCAGGCTTGACTTTATGATCAAATTCCTGAAAAGATCAAGAACCATCTGCAGTGATCTTAGACAAATGAAAGTAATTAGAATTTTATAAGATTAAACAATAATGGCCTGATGTGCCATGACATTGGATCTATTTTTATCAGGATAGACATCACTTCATACATTATGCTGAAACAAAATGAGAAAATCAGAATACAGTTGAATTTTGGCATAAATATACATAGATCTGTTCAGTTTATTTTTTAAAATTTTTCAAAAACTTAAAAAGTATGTGACTTTTAATACATGAGGGGGGCATGGTACAGTAATGGATTGCTGCTTGGACTGAAGAATTGAAGAGATGAGTTTGAATACCAGTCGAGTCCACTATATTCATTTACATACTAATACCCTTGGGAATGGTATGAGTCCATCTCTTCTCTCCTCAGGTATGGGCAAATAGCAAGATGAACTGGGTTCTGTAGTCTTGGTGGCAACCAGTCTAGGAGAAAGAAAACTCTGAATTCAAAAATATAAATAGCCCTGGCAAAGCACATACTATACTGCTAAAGAAAGGATGATTCACATTGACTTGATGATCCCAACTACATTTGTCTCCTTTTTTATATATATATTCATCTGGTATATCCATGCCTGATTTTCCCCCTTGAACTGTGGCTCTACTGAGCAAGTTGCACATAACTTTATTGATGGTAATTAAACTCTCATAAGGTTAGCAGTGAGGACAGGATACCAGCCATTGTCCTGAAGAAATGTGCTCCTGAACTGGCTCCTGTCCTCTCCAAACTATATAACTACTGCCTCAAGGAATCTTGTTTCCAGTCTGTTGGAAATCCTTATCTGTTGTACTTGTCTTTAAGATCTCTGGAGACCCTTCTGACCCATCTAACTACCATCCTATCAGTCTCCTACCACTCTTCAGCAAAGTCTTCAATGCTTTAATCAATGCCTAAGTGGTTAAGCACCTTACATCCCATGACTGCTCTGTGACAAGCAATATAGTTTCTGCTTTGCCCGATCTACTGCTGATGTACTCATGTCCTTAGCTGAATTTGTTTACTAAGCACTTCACAATAACGGAGAAGCTTGAGCTATGACTCTAGATATCTCTAAAGCATTTGATACGGTTTGGCATGCCAGCCTTCTTTGTAAACTTCAGGGATACAGAATTTCAGGATGATTACTTGACTTAATACAATCATTCCTGTCAAACCATGTAATGAAGGTCATCCTAAACACATTCAGCATTCAAACATGAAACAGACACTCACACACACACATACTGCAGTGGCATTCTACCCATTCACTCAAACTGATTCTTAAAATTATAAAAGCCTAGCAAACTGGATGTTGGATTATCCAAAAAAATAATCTTATATATTAATAGCTGATAGTTTACACAAAATTTTAGTTCCACTACATTCTCATGTGCACCTAGTGAAATTCTGATAAACACATGTCCCCTACCATTTTGAAGTTAAAATGTGGCAAATCTTCTAGTGATAAATTTGATAGACCTTCCATTGGATCTTTTGGTCTGCAGTGATCCAGGTTGAATTTCAATATACAAATGTTTTCTATTATCAAAATGGTTTAATTCTTTTTTATACTATAAATTGATTTGTTTCCATTCTCAGATTGAAAAGAAAATAAGTTCCTAAATATTACCTGGCTTTACAGAACCGATTCCTGGAAATTTAGGATGCACCACTGTATGTGTCTGTGTACAAAAGAGCATCAATAATTTTGACAATTATTTGCTGAATTTTAAATTAAAATATTCATTGTATAATGTGTGATTAAGACAGAAGCATTGGATTAAGTACATTGACAAGGGAGGAGTTTATGTTAAAAAATAAATATTTATTATATAAAAGAAATTCTTCTTTCAGCACTGGACTACAGATTTATTGATTTATCTAATTATAAAACTTTGTGCTGATTAACCATATATATCTTTGAAGACCATTGGTTGTAGACAAAATCTTTATTCAACGTTTTAATACTGTATCTTTGTCAGCCAGGCTTTGTGAATGTTTTCATTGGCTTCCTGATGTGGAACGACAGAAAGCTAATATTTCAGCCATGAAGTGGACAATGTTTTTGTTTTCATTTTTTTTACCTTTAGCTTCTAGTTTCTCCTAACATTAAAATAAAATAGATGTATGTAAAAATTTTGTTCTATTTTTCAAAACATTTTAAAAGCTCCGTCTTCTGTTAGCATCTCTGTTGTTGGTAGGATGGAACTGCACACACTGTTTTTGAAGAACAGGGATCAAACTAAAGAAGAACTACAAGTAGCCATGCGATAAATCATGGTGTTTGTGTTGATTCAATGATGGAATCAGTCTCAACCTCAATTTCTAGAATCACCTAATTCCCAAAGTGAATTACTACTATGAATATAGTATTGGCAAACTGTTGTAGCCTTAAAGAGGTTACAAAGGTGGTATCTGAGTGAAGGAACAACAAAACAGGCATAGATGAAAGAAAGAGAGGTTTATTGTAAACGATAATACACAACTGAAAGACAGGGAATCAGATGGCAGGCTATTAATTTCCAAAGCAAATCCCCAGGTATATCCTGGGCTCACTATATATATATATATATATATATATATATATATATATATATATATATATATAGCTATTGATATAGTCAGTACACATAGATGACAGGGAGTGTGGGACATTCCATTACAATGCAAACATAGATTTGTTTCTGAAAGATTTGTATATATACATGTGTGTGTGTGTGGCTTTATCAATAGCAAGATACTCACGTATGTAATAGCACTGGACACCCTTCAGAGACATACATTAACCAACTGACTCAAGGTTCTGGATGAAAATGACAGCATGAATGACTGGGAAGGATAGATATCATAAAATCATGCAAATCCTAACAATCTTGAAGGTGATTATCATTTTTGCACTAATTTCTTTTTGTATTAATCTGATTTTCTCTTTACATTGGCTGTTAAATGATTCCAAGCATTCTACTTGCATGAATCCTTTTAAAATTGTTTTTAGAGAAAGATTTTATAAATTTCAACTGAAAGTCAGGCTTAGGCCTGCTAATGGTAATATGTAGCTCAGTACAACCAGCCATGTATATGGGTGGTTGGTGTCTAAACCACCTTCCAAACTAAGTTTTCTGCTGGTGAGGATAATAGCATGTGAAACCCCACAGGCTGCAAAACAAGATTTGTTAAATGGCAAATGAACTTCTTATAGAAGCGAATGACCAATATTTATATATATATATATATATATATATATATATATATATATATATATATATATGGTAGTCTCTCCCATTGTATTTGGTGTATGAGGGTCAAGCACACATGATTTGATTGTAGTGGTGAAGGCTTTGTGCAGAACCAACTACTTCTTTTCGAATGTCTGAATACAGAGACCTGTTTCACTATATGCCACAAGTTCCCCAAACGACCCTTTGCATGTTTCGAATTCAGAGATGTCCTTCTCCTACACCAGTTGTCATTCAAGGCTATAGAACTCAGTCTGTCCTGCTATTTACCCATAGCTGGAGTGAAAACCTTTTTTTTACCTGTTTTGCTTTTATCATTATATGCAATGATAACAGCAAAAAATTGCAATATGAGTACTGGTAAAAAATGATTGCTGAAGACATTAGTTTTATAATACCCAGAAATTCATACACAGATGTCCTCAAGGACACATGCACAGTGGATAAAGGTGTTAGTTAGATCCAGTGACAGGACCCAAAGAGTGCGAGTTCAATACCCGGTTCAGGCAGTGGAGAACTTGGAGAGGGGAATTAACAGGAGATAAATGACAACTTACATCCATTAAACATGGCATGTGGAACTAGAACAGTCTACCCCAGTGATCAAAATAAAGGGTTCAGTTCGACATTCCAACCACCTGAAAAAGGCTGGAGCGTACAATGGCTGAAACGTTGTAATAAATATGGCGACAAGGATGAGGACAATAGTCCGAATAATGTAAATAGTGTACATAATACCTCATCTCATAAATATAGACAGATACAGATTACACCTATGTATGTATGTTTGTATGTATGGTAGTACAAGCTGCTAAATCAATAAATGCCAAATATTTCCTCATAAAGAAATGCCTAATATTAGTTTTACTTTTTAAAAGTAAAATTATTAAAAAAAATTAAAGATGCATTTACTCACTTCATAAGGTTGTAAAGTCTCTTATACTGATTAAGTTTCAAACATTTTAATTCTGTCTGAAGAAATACTTCTTCTTTTCTGTGCCATGTCCCTTCAGGTCATTGGTGATTATCGTGAACTAGATTAAAAGAGTGAAGAGTAGGAGAGTCTTGTATTTTGAATCCTGCAGAGTTGATTTTCCCAGACAAATGCAAAGAAGTGGGTATTTGTTTTTTAGCAACCTAATTTATGGAGTTGTGCTTTGTTGACAGGTCCATATAGATCAAAGTCATCTATGCCTATTATATTTCAGGTGCAGAGACAACAGCAAATGTAAATTATATTTGTTTATATTTTGTCTATCAGTATTATCTCTCTGTACATTTCCAACTGGTAGATTTTTTACAAATGCACACAAATCTTATGTAATGTATGCAGATCAAAATACTTCTCTCTAATTTCAGATACATCAATATTAAAACAGAAACTTGGAGTATCAAAGAAAATCAATTCATACAAGAAAACAATTTGAAATAAATATATCTATTATGGTTTAATCAAAAAGATTTTTATTAATTTACATTCAGTGATCGTAGAGAATCTTGTTTTTTCACCATAAGTTGCTTCATGAATATTTTTCAATTTAAATTTTAAATAATTTTGTTAAGATTCTAGGATGAAGAAACTTCATTTTTACATACACTGATGATTAATTTTCATCTATTCTGTTAATTTTTATCCAAATACTTTTTGTTTAATACATTTAAATTAAAGTTTTTCAAGTTATC